ACTATTATTATTATTATTATTATTAATTATTATTATTAATTATTAAAGCTATAATCAGTACAATTGCTCTTTTAATGACACAACAAATATCACACCACGAGCACGAGCAAGAACGAGTTGCACTGGTTAATGCTTCGTTTTGATAACTAAGTTAGAAATCAGAGATTTATACCGATAATTAATTAATACTACTCTATTTGCATATTCCTCTTCCATTTCGATCGATCAACCCCTTACTAAGATATTTTGATACAATATTCCAGTCGATAAACAATGAATACTACTGCTTAGTAATTGAAACAATTTATCACTACAGCTACTAGCAATTTGCTACCAGCTGACGGCTGATAATAAGAAAAGTTTCCTCTCATTTCCTCTCAAGGCTAATATTATTCATATTATGCATCGCTAACAACTGCATATTAAAACCAGCTTATCAAAAAACGCACTTCGAAACGAATTAAACTTAACGTGGCTGAATGTACGCAACACGAATTGACCCAACTTGTAACCTAAGCCTAAAATTCTGAAGATTTGTAAATCATTTATGCACATATATATGGATATGGATATAAATATAAACTAACAAGGACATAGAGAAATCAAGTAGAAAGACACATATGTCCAAACACATACAAACCATTAACAATTAGCATAATTGTTAGGCTTAACAAGAGACTAAAATAGAGTCTCGCTGTCTCGAACAATGTGTTATGGATGAGTTGAGCTAATTCCACCATCCAACACTTCCCTTCTTATAAGAGCCGTTTCTCTCCCCACCTCCTTCCCTTCATCTGTTTAACCATTTCTACGTTTGAAATTAAGATACATTTTTGCAATCTAGTCATAAGTCCACGGTTAACATCACACCAAACTCAAGACTCATTAATCCATACCATCATCTTTGATTTGAAATTTATCAATAAATTAATAATCGCTGCTTGGAAACGGACTTACGAATTCCGACTCATCGAAAGATACAACTGGATGGACCGCTGCTATATACATTTATGCCGCATTGTTCCCTCAGTCGGGAAAGTCCTCCCAGCAGATATACTACAGGTGAGTAATTCAAAAAATAAACAGCAAAAGATCAGAGCAGTGATGACTCAGATTTACCAGAACTTATTTCGAAGAGGATAGCAGAAGAAGGACGAAGAGATAGAGAGGTGGGAGTTCATTTTTAACTAGAAATTCTGCGGGTGAATCTAATTAAAACAATAAACACGTCATGCGTAATTAGTTAACTATACTTGATTCAAGTAATAAATCAACGAACACATTTGCAGTGCCGCAATATTTGGCTCAATCTTTTACAGAAAAGAGTATCGAAATTTTCAAATTGGAACTTATGGTAAATCAACTGAAAGTGTCAAAAAGATGCAGGATTCGACAGTAACCTCAACATAATCGTAATCGCATTTTATTTGCCTACAGTTATAATTTAAACAGCATTTTAAAAAGTTCAACGCTTGGAGCTAATTTCGAAAATTTTACATCTTATATATTTCAAAAAAATTCAAATTTTCAATAATTTTATAGAACGCCATCTCTATTCCCCTCTCCTTTTAAAATGTCTAAAAAAAACTTCCTCAGACGAAAATATTGTGTAAAGCGCCCCTCATAGTATAAAAACGAACTTGAAAAAAACAAGATAAATGGAACTGGAAAGATAGAAATTCCGTGGTATGTTAGGAAACAATTGCTTTTGTTGGAGGACAACTAAACAGGTATTTTTCATAGGATGATTCCTGTTTGTTGCAATAGCGGTGCTACTTTTTATATATTTTTACCCTCAACTACTAACCTTTTGACGTTATGAGAGGTGAAAATTCTCAACAATAATTACAACTCATGGTTTTGTTTTGCAAAAATTCCTGGGTCTAAAACATAATTTTAACATGATGAATGTGGATAGGAGACTTCGATAATTCCCGACTAATCTCATTTGTTCATTAATAGAAATATATTAAGGAAAAAAAAAGAGCGATAAATAACAAGCAAAACGTTTTCGTGCGTTAAATAAAGTTCTGGACGATCCCATTAATGTATTTAATGACAGTGGCTGGCAACCTTCATGAAAGGATCTCAGGATTGGATCACTGATAATGCATATTTTTCCATCTACGGACCAAATTAAGAGCGATATTCGTGAAAATTTCCATTTCAATGGAAAAAAAAAGAAATTTGAACGGAAGGGAAGAAGGTAGTTGGGTTTGGCACAAAGAATAACTTACAGATGAATAGAAGGAAGTATAAGGAAAGAACTACAGAATTCGTATATTGAATCGAATGAAGGTAGTGATTAGGTCAAGCAACAAGGGAACCACAAAAAATCACCGAAGATAAAAATCTTCCATCCATGGACTTATTCTTACCCTCCTGTATAGGTAATGCGGTAGTAAATAAATTTACAAATGGACAAATATGAAGTAATAAATGAGTAATTAAATCAATAACTGTACACATAATGATTAATCAAAAAAGGTAGAAAAAAATTCTTAGTTTTATTGAGGAAATAAAACTTTGAAAATAAAATGTTTTTAAGAAAATAGCGGCTTCTACATTGATAGAGATATCACACAAGTTTTTTGTTCTCTTGGTCAAGGGTTTCCTGATTGCTCTATAACTGTTTTTTGTCAGGCCGTCTTATATTTGGAGTGACCAAATATTTGGTCACTCTAATATTTGGTCAGTCCACTCATCTGATAACAACCTTGTAACCTCAAATACTGAAGGCAGGTAAAATTGGTAACAGATGAGCAGCAGTAGCATATCTCTAGAAAAAATTAGGAACATTCCCTCAGCCTGTTAGTTTTTAAATGGTAGGCACATAAGCCGTTTCCTTTCTTACCAACGTTTAACAGACGACGAAATTCTTACCGAATTCAGAATCCTGGAATTTCATAGCTATGAACTTTAGCTACTCCTGAAGTTTGCCGAATTTTTCCAGGAAGAATGGACAAAACTTATTCCACTAATAAATGTAGATGAAATGGATGTTTGAGTAATCCTATATCGCATCTTTATTTGAGAGACTTAGTTGACAGCTAGATTGCCTAAGTAAGATACCTTCAAAAAATAAGTCACAATACATGGCTTCCTATAGAAATTTAGTTGGTTTCAAACGAAGCGAACCTTCTAATCTTTTTGACATTAAATTACCGAAATGGGATCAAACGACTATTGGAACTGGACAACTGGGAGAAAGGTAAGTTGCTTCTTATTGCTGAATTTAACGCTGCTTACCTCCGAAGCCACATGGAATACAACTATGATAAGTTACTATATGGTTGTGTAAAGATAGATTGCAAAAGGAGCGCTCTCATTTTTTAGATGGAAAGTTGCACAGAAAGAAAAACAGCAGCAGGGACAGGTAAGAACAATTTTCTTCTTTTCCAGCAGAAAAAGATTCGAGTAAGTTGATAAAGTGCGGAGAAGCTTTTCGGGATACAGTAAGAGTCATAAAAACTTAAGGTTCCTCAATTTACTTGGATACGAACTTAATTACTCAATTAGAATCAAAAAAAAATATATTTGTTCATTTGCGAAGTAAAACAATACAAAAAGTTTTATCCAACTCTTTCGAAAAGTTTCGACTGGGAACCAATTAAAAACTTCTCTGAAAGATCGTAAATGAACATTGTTGTCCCAATATTATCATTAACATGATCAATGCCAATAACACTCTGGATTACTACGCTCATAAGAGAACAGAGAACCCAAACCAAGCCAGAAACAGAAGGATCAGACATTTACCAAACGAAATACCAAACAAATCGAAGAAACATATAATTTTTTCGGAAAACTGTCACCGAAATTAATCATTTTTTATAATACGTGAAATGGACGCTGTTCGTTTTCAAACTTCAGGTCCTGAGTCTCCTATTTCAAATTTAGTTAATATTTTCTCCAGTGAAAATACTGCTCTTATATATATTTGAAATAAGTGGATCACAGAAGCTAAAAAATGCACACAATTTGCAAATCAGAAAGAAATTACTTCCAGACGTCTTCAAGATTTGGACTATTTGCTGAAAAAAGTTTTCTAACTTTTCAGATCAGGGTAGAATTGATTGTTAGTACGTGAACGGTTACTTGCAAATTTTGGATCGCCCCATGAAACTTCATATTCTTGTTTCTTTTGGATTAAATTGGAAATTTTATTGTCGACTAGTAAGCGCAGAAGTTAAAAGTACGAAAGCTTTATAAATGTATGCATAGGATAATACGAGTACGAGTATGTGCCATGCATGTATATGAGTGTATATATGGTGCACAACTGATTTTCTCATTAAACGCTTGTAAGGTCGCCGTCGTTTACTTCATTTTCCTTCCTCACTTTCATATGGAAATAATGATAGTTATCCAATATTTTCCTTATCTGGAATTTCAAAATATTTCTAAAAAAGAAAAAGTGGTAGGTCATCACCACAAACCGCCTTGTCAGCAATTTTAAAACATCGATTTTATTTCGAGCTCATCTGCTCAAAGATGGATACACATGCATAACGGATCGCATCATTTTATTCATTTCTTGAATTAATCCCCGAACTCCTTCCTGTCCCTGAGAATTGCCATTTCAGATGTTCCTACCCCGAGATTTGCTGATACACAAAGAAATAGGAAAACGAGTGAACTGAACGCAAACGAGGGTATAATAAGCTTTATAAATAGTACTGAGAAATAAGAAAAAAAGAAACGAAAGAAGTATAAGAATAGAAGGAGTGAGATGTTAGAGGACAGGAGAAGAGAATGAGTGTTGCTTGAGGGGACGAAAACAAAGCGAAGGAAAAGTAGGCGTAAATAGTTTTGATTGAAGTGCAGATTTTTGCTGAACAAAGAAGGAACGGCGGAGGAAGAGTATTTAATCAATGATTAAGGACATACAAAAGATGAAATGGGGGAGAGGGACACGGGGGAAGCGGGCAGGGGGCAGGGGAGGGGGCACTTGCTGAAAAAAGTGAAAAGAACAACTAAAGTGTATAGTTAAAAAATGAATAGGAAAGTAAAACTGTGAAGTTTAGCTGAAAGAGGTGACCTTTGTATCATTTCCAATAAACCACTGGCTATTCAGGATGGCGGGAATAAAAATTTACTAGTAAGTTATATAGGACTGACAAGAGAGAAAAATTCTTAGATGGCTCCTGCTCGCTGCTAGTTTGTCCTGTCCTTTTCAGTCTTCATGAATCTGATTCAGTGGTGATCTCGAAGCTCCGAGGATGCCAACTAATGCATTCCCCTTATTACACATGAGGGTACACACATAAGCACATATATATATATATATATATATATATATATATATATATATATATATATATATAT